GGCGATATGCTGACTCTGTAAACCGCTTAGAGGGGGCTGAAAGCCCTATGAAGCGGTATATAAGTCTAAGTCTCAATATAAGTCTCAATAAGAGAAATGCCATCAGTGCCAGTAAAAATAGGATATGAAGAGAGGAAGATGAGGAGGAGGAGGAAGTGGAGAAGGGGGAGGAGGAATGGGAGGAGGAAGAGGAGGAGGAAGGGGGGAGAGCAGGAAGAGGAGGAGGAGGAAGAGGAGGAGGAAGTGGAGTAGGTAGAAGTGGAGTAGGGAGAAGGGGGGAGGAGGAGGAAAAGAAGGAAGAGAAAGGGAAGGAGGAAAGGAAGGGGGAAAGGAAGAGGAGGGGGAAAAAAGGAGGAAGGGAAAGAAAAAGAGGAAGAGGAAGTAGTGTGTCTCCAGAAGGCAGCAGAATAATCTCCATTCAAAAGGGCAAAAGTTGACCCCGAGTTCAGGCGTGTCCTGAAACACACGATGTGTGGTTCTTACAACGGTTAGTAAGTCTTACCTTAAGACGAGAAATCTCTCTGCGGGTTCTGAAGTTCACAGATCTCTTTCTCTGCAAAACAAAAAAAATACCAAGAAAAGGAAAATTGAAAAAGTGTGGTTTTCTTCGCGTTAACCCATATGGGATTTTCGCTTATCGTTATTGTCTTTCATTTTTTTTGGGGGGGGGGGTCCTCATTCAGCTTTTCCCGTGCTCACAGGATCAACGAGTTATTAAGGGAATAATCCGAATGACAAAGCTACTTAAAACGTTGTTCAGGATCAACTTTGATTAAGTTAATACTCTTTGCAGTGTTCCATTTACCGAAGAGGTGAATGGGACAACAAGGGGGAGGGATGCGGATGGCCTAACGCCATGTTTCCAAACTTTCCGGTAATCCTCAACTTTACTGCCTCGATTTACGACGAAAATTAAGCCCAAAATTTAACTTGCTAAAAAGGGTCTTATGGGAAGAAACTTTTTTTTGTTTTATAACTAGTCCTTGACTTACAACAATCGACCTCTAAGTTTAACGTGCTAAGGGGGGGTCTTACAAGGAAAAAATTCACTTCTTTTATAGGTAGTCCTCGATTTACGACCGCAGTTGAGCTCAAAATTTAACTTGCTAAAGGGCCTTACAAGCCAAAAAATAATTATTTCTTTTATAACTAATCCTCAACTTACAACAATAGAGGCAAAAGTTTATCATGCTAAGCTTCTTAGGAGGAGAAAATTCATTTCTTTTTTAGGTTGTCCTCGAGTTACGACGACAATTGAGGCCAAAATTTAAATCGCCGAAGGTTTTTAGGAGCAGAAAATTTAATGTTTTCATAGGAAGTCCTCGATTTACGATGGAAATTGGGACCGAAATTTAACGAGCTAAGCAATCTTATGAGAAAATTTTGTTTCTTTTATAAGTAGTCTTTGACTTACGCCCACAATTGAGGCCAAAATTTAAATCGCCGAAGGTTTTTAGGAGCAGAAAATTTAATGTTTTCATAGGAAGTCCTCGATTTACGATGGAAATTGGGACCGAAATTTAACGAGCTAAGCAATCTTATGAGAAAATTTTGTTTCTTTTATAAGTAGTCTTTGACTTACGCCCACAATTGAGGCCAAAATTTATCTTGCTTATGAGCAGAAATGTATTAATTTTGCAGGTAGTCCTCGACTTATGACCACAACCGAGCCCAACATTTCCATTGCTAAACAAGGCAAAGTGACTTTTGCCCAATTTTTAAAACCTTTCTTGCCGCAGTTGTGAAGCAACTCACTGCCGTTGTTAAGTGAGTCACACGATTGTTAGTGAATCCGGCTTCCCCATTGACTTTGCTCATCGAAAGGTCGCAAAAAGGGGACCACACAATTCCTGGAACGATGCGACTGTCATAAATAATGGATTCTGAATTCTGACCACGTAACCATGGGGATATGCTGTGACGGTTATAAGTGTGTTAATGTCGCTGTCACTTTGAACCATCATGGAAACAAACGATCATAAATTGAGGACTACCTTAAGAGATTTTTGTTTTTCATATTGTACGTGGGGGGAAAAAAAACTTTGCTGATGTATTTTTCATCGTTTATTCCTGTGGGTCACCCGTCCGTCCCCCCCCTTCACTGGATCAAAAATACATAGAAAAATAAATATTAAGCTGTTTTGTTGACTTTTATCGTTTTAGAGATTTATTTGAGATTATCCTTTAAGGCTGAAAAATGTCCCAGAAAATTATGATGTTTTAGGCCTAAAGCTTTTACCACTCCCTCTTCTCCCTCTCTTTTTGCTTCTTTCTTTCATTCTTTCTTTTCTTCTCCCCCGCCCTTTTTTCTTTCTTTTTTCTCTATTCTTCTTTATTTCTCCCTCGTTTCTTTTTTTTCTTTCCTTCCTTCCTTTTCTGCCTCCTTCCACCCTTTTCAATCTTTTTTTTTGTTTCTCTCTATCTTTCTCTTTCTGTTTCTCTCCCTCCTTTCTTTTTCTTTCTCCAGCTTTCCTTTCTTCCTTTTTTCTCACTACCTTCCTCCCTTTCTTTTTCCCCTTCCCTCTCTCCCTCTTTTGCTTTCTCTCTCCCTCCCTTTTTGCTTACTCTCTCTCTCCCTCTCATTCTCTCCCTCCTTCCGACATTCTTTCCTTTCTCTCACTACTACATTCACTCACTCACTTTCTTTCCTCTCTCCCTCCTTTTTTTCTCTCCATTTTTCTTTTCCCTCACCCCCTTTCTCATTCTTTCTTTCTCTCTCCCTCATTCCATCCCTCCCCTTTTGTTTATCTTTCTGTCAATCTTGCTTGTTTTTCTTTCACTGTTTTTTTCTTTCTTTCCATCTCTCCCTTTTTCTCTCTCCTTCAATCTTCTTTTTCTCTCCCTCCCTCCCTCCCTTTGTTTCTTTCTCTCTCATTCTCTCATTCTCTCCTTTCTTTCTTTCTTTTTTTCTTTCTTTCTCTCTCTCTCTCTCTCTCTCATTTTTAATTTTTAAGATACAAAATTGTGGGGGGTTGTCCTTATCCATACCACCCCAAAATTGACAGCCTGGATCTCTGAAAAAATTAAGTTTTATCATTTGCTTGGTTTAATAGCTGTGATAAGCCTAGATGTTGGCACAGAGCCATGTGGAACGCAGGGAGTCCTCGACTTCTGACCAACATAGACCTCAAAATTACAGCTAAGCCCAGTCAGTTGTTAAGTGAGCTTTGTCTCACTTTACCACCTTTCTCACAACGTTTGTTAAATGCATCACCGCAGTTATTTGCAACCCAGTCGTTAAAAGTCAATCCCCATTACAAGAGAGTCCTCAACTTATGACCGCAAATGGAGCCCAACATTTCTGTTGCTAAACAAGACGGTTCTTGTGGGTTGTGCCCTATTTTATGACCTTTCTCGCTGCAAGTTGTTAACTGAATCCATGAAGTTAGCAGCACGGTCGTTAAGCGAATCTGGCTTCCCTATTGAATTTGCTTGTTGGAAAGTGGCAAAAGGGGATCGCATGACCCCCCCAAGACGGTCATAAATATGAGTCAAGTTGCCAATTGTGACCACCTGACCATGATGGAAAGCTGAAATGGTCGTTAAGTGTGAAAAATGTCCCTTTTTCATGGCCGTTGTAATTAGTGAACAGTCAATAAGCAACTTTAAGTGAAGGACCATCTGTAGTTTAATTAACAGATTGACAACTCTTTGGGACCCAATCTTGCTGTTTTGTACTGTTTTGTGTAGTTCCCTTCCGATCCCACAACACAATCCAACACGGGGGAAAATTGATAAAAACACACTTCACAATATGAATTCCCCCTTGAGCAGTTGTGACCTCAAACACGCAACTCACTGTGCCGTGTGGGTGGGTTTATGAGTCCACTTACACAACCACACAGAACTACACACAACCACAAAAACACACAACCACAGAAACAAATCTAATGGAGAGAGATGAGGTAGTGGAGGATTCTGGGAGTTGGAGTCCTCCCCTCTTAAAACATAGCTGGCTGTGGGATTCTGGGAGTCGGAGTCCATCCCTGTTTAAAACATGGGGGATTCTGGGAGTTGAAGTCTATCCATCTTAAAGCATCCTGGCTGGGGGATTCTGGGGAGTGGAAGTCCTCCCCTCTTAAAACATAGCTGGCTGGGGGATTCTGGGAGTCGGAGTCCATCCCTGTTAAAACATGGGGGATTCTGGGAGTTGAAGTCTATCCATCTTAAAGCAACCTGGCTGGGGGATTCTGGGAGTCGGAGTCCATCCCTGTTAAAACATGGGGGATTCTGGGAGTTGAAGTCTATCCATCTTAAAGCAACCTGGCTGGGGGATTCTGGGAGTCGGAGTCCATCCCTGTTAAAACATGGGGGATTCTGGGAGTTGAAGTCTATCCATCTTAAA